ATATTGTACAATGACATCACATGTGGTAGTTGCACTTTTGCACATTTGAATGTGCTTTGTTCAAGTTATACAGTGAAGAACCGAAGGTCGGAGATTATCAACTGATAATGATTATTTTATTAGTCATCTGTGGATCAGGACCGCTTGATGTATTTTCCTGTAGAGATTTTATGAGATCTGTTATTTCTTGATATTCGATGACGGTATGATCCAGTTGAGGATCACATAGCTTAGTAAATGGTAGACGCTAGTCGATTACATCACAAACACTGGAAAGTGACATAAAATGATTTGACGGCTTCAGCTTTATCAAAATCTGAATGTACTTTGGGCGAGAGATGGGATAAGAGTGCTGGCTCCGTCATTGAAGTCACGCATTGCTTTTTCAAATAATCAGAACTGATTTGTTTGTGTGCATGATATTCCATCGGAATTTAAATCAAAAATGAATTGGCAGCTTTCTTCAAATTATTTACTTTGTTCATTGTTTTCAACATTTAGAAAAATCGTGTTCTTTTCATGTTCGTCTGAGTTTTCCCCAGTCGGATCCGTATTTTATATCTCATTGATATTAATTTATACGGGATGGAGCAGAACTTGTGAGTCTTCTGTTCAAAAAACACAGTTGTCTACTGACAAAATAGAGTGCCATGATGATCATATGGAAATCATCAGGACTAAGTACATGTATGTCCATAGACGCAATGATATGCGGATTACGAGATTGCAGCGCAGTGTGTTACCAAATCCATTTGTACTGACAAGCTGTGTGTTGTGGTCCACACCTGGAACTGTGACAGAAGAATGACACGAAATGTGCAAAAAAAGATTTACATAGATATGCTATGGATCCGATATTAAATGTATAGTGCTCATTCCCATAAATAATTGTACATATACATGTAGAGATTTGGTCCCCAAAATTAAACCATCAGTGTCTGTCTTGTTGTATTGACGTCATACTATTTTACTTTATTTTGAAATCAGTGTATTTCTCCATGAATAGTATTATGTTGTAATAATACTGTTATAGAAGACGAATACCATTTACTTCTCTATTGAATTCTTCAAATGAATTTGTAATTAAAAATGTTGCGGTTTTCATTTATCAAGCCATGTTGATTAGAAACTTGTATATATGAAATGTACTGAAGGCCTGTGGCCTAATCAGTACTGAAATAAAGATTGATTGATTGAATCGCCGTTAACTTTTTCCCTTGCAAACAAAAATTTAACTTTGCAATCTATGTTTAAAAAAACAATATCAGCCAAAAGTGTGTAGCTCCTAGAAATATAATCTGTATATGGTCTCTGGTCGATCGTTAGTTATACAGTAGTATGATGCATTTTGTTGACTGTGATGACTACCAGTTCCCTGAAACACCGTGTCGACACCCATGTCTAGTAACTTTCAATTGCTTGTGAAGTGCCATATTTAGTCACAGATCTAGAAGTGTGTCAGTCGGTTCACATCCTGACTGTTCGGCATTTTGAGGACTTGTCTGTTTGTCAGACAGACAGACAGACAGACAGACATATTTATTCAGTAATGTGGGCCTAACGGCCTATAATACAATTGAAACTTACAATATTTTACAATGCCACGTGATAGTTTCATATATAATGTTTAAACAGATGTTTAAAAAACAGAGCAACTGATTTAATAATATTAGAATCTTTGGAGTGTAATACATTTATCATGCTTTGTTCACATTGAGGCATGGCATTCAGCTGTGGCAAATACTTTTTCCGAATTTCATTATATTTTGTACATTGCATAAAAACATGGTATTCATCTTCAATCGCTCCAAGATTACAATTTTTACAGATACAACTAATTTTCCCACTGTCTTTATTTCTCCTGTAAGTAACACTTCTAAAATTATGTAGGGATATTCTAAATTTACAAACTGCTCTTAGAAGAGACTTATCATTCAGTTGTAAAACATAACATTCAGGCTCCAGAACTGCTTTCAGCTTACAGTAGTTCGTTAAATAGTGCGAGTTACAAATAGAATCATGCCAAGTTTGTTTGTATATGTCAATCAATCTTTCTCTAAACTTCACTATAAACACATTTGCATCACCAACATTTTGCAATATCCACACAAATGAGAAACCTGTTCTAAACAGGATTGTTCTAATGTTGGACACCCAATTACATTTTCCATTTTCATCTAAATTTTTAAGTAATACATAACATTGATATGGGTAACGATTTACATTCATTTGCAACAACTTAATCCAATACTTAATACATCGTATTTGAGTTAATATAAACATGTCATACCTACCAGTTTCACCAAGTATGGCCTTATTTGATGCAAACTTTCCCACCCTTAAATATCGTTTAAAATATGTAGTTTGCACTTGCTCTATTTCATGATGATAATTATTGCCCCAAATTTCACGTATAATAAAACAGGAGCAATTTTCGTATCAAATATTTGGCAGGCTGTAGTAAATGAGATAAAGCTTTGTCTTCGCATACGAGTCAGATTTGTTTACTACTTTAGAGTCCAACCTTAGTTTCAGATTCAGCAATGTTAAGATTAATGAGTATCTTCAATTCCTTTATCGATCAGACCTGGATATCCAAGCAAGACTATACATGTATATGAATACAGAACCGACAGAACCCTTTCCATGTCTATAAGAAATCTCTGCTACAAGCTTGATCCTACTGGACTATATCATAAGCATTGAAATATGAAATAGTGATGATTCCAGATTATCGTGAAAAGGTAAATACTAATTCCCCATCTGGCTTTGGTACTTTTTGGTATTTGGTATTTTTCAACATTCTAGGAGAGTCACGTTATTCTTGCATCAAAACTATTCCATAACGGAATAACCATCAAAGTCCGGGTCGGATCATTCCATACGTTTGCGTAGACATTCAGAAGAACTGATTAAGTAGAACGCGTGCGTGTGCTCCAATGTATGAATGAACTAATGCTTAGACTCGGAATACGTGTATATAAAATTTTGATAGAAACAACTGTTTCCATATGAATAAGCCCCAATGGGATGTGAGATTCAGAACCTGAGGAAATCTAGACTTGCTTCATTTAGGGCTTTAGCATTGCAGAATGGGTGGAAGGGAAAATACTTGGTTTCTGTCAGAGACTGAGGTTTGGAACTTCCTTACTCAGAAGCATTTACATTAATGTTTGAAGCGGCCAGGTTTGGTCACCTGATTGACTGTGTATCGTCGAATTTATAATATGCGATATATTCGAATTAGTTGTGTACATCTATTACTTATGCAATTAATCTCTTTATAAAAATCTGTCATCATCGGTGATCATCCTCACTGATTTCTAATGAAACTTTTGGGGAAAAGCCCAGTTCATATTCTGGTTGGATCTTTGTTTGAGGTTTGAGGCACATCTTCAAAACACTTTCCTGGAAGGAACTCAACATCTCTCTTTCCCCGTCCTTCCACAAAACAGTCTTAGTGGTACAGTTCTAAAACATACAAGACAATTCCTTACCTCAGAGCAAAAGAAAAACAATAATATTGTATTTAATAATTTTGCAGGACATCCATCATGACCAGCAAATTCTGTTCTTTCTTGTATAATCTGAGGTATTTTTCTACGCCGCTGAGTGTAATCCCAAATAAAATATGTGTTACAAGTAACGAATTCATTGGTAACCACTAATTACGAAAGCTAATGGTCACAAACTGGGCCATGAAGGAATGTTACACTATTATGCCGTCATGTGATTGAAAAAATATTCTTACCTTTGCACACTCCTAAAAAACAGGTCTGTTTGATCTTTCTTTGTCTATGTTTATCAAAACATGTTTCATAAGCAAAGCCACTCGATCTACGGGAAATTCCTTTATGAACAATTACCAGTTTATCTAAATGTTAAACTATTATAAACTACGTTACACAAAGCGTGGTTGAGGTTGGAGTTGACAAGCTAATGATGGAAGGCACTACAGTAAAGCGTCAGAATTACTTCGACAGACAACTACCATAGTCATTGATGTGCTGTGTGGGCAAAGTTGGCATATATACTAATACTTTCACAATAAGGCTGTTAGGTGGATGTGACATTTTTAAAGCTAATCGTTTGACGTACTTTCATCTGTTTCCCATAAGAAACGGTTCTTCATACTATATTTAGACGAATACCAATAAAGGTACAGTGAGTATGACAGTGTTCTTTTGTTTCAGAACTTTATTTCTGTTCTGATCTTTTAAAGAAACAGATGGATTCTCATATTGCATTAGTTTGATTACTGTATCATATTTTGTTTTCTCTTGAATCTATCAAAGTCCAATTCTAGGAGACAGAACGTCATGTTTTAAAAGAAAATGTTGTCTACATTTTTGCATTCGAGTAAAGACCGTAAAATCTAGGACAGTTGGAGGATTTAGACGCAATCTAGAGATTGGTTAAACATAGCTGAGCGTATGTTATCCGTCATAACATCCACATCAGTTTCAGTGAGTGAGTGACTTGTATTGTTATTATTATTTGAATATTCATAAATAACATACGGTCCTAATTACATTAGCACATGTAGTTCCATTGTGATGTTGGCCGACTGGCTTGTCATATTGTACGCCAACAATAGGTGACGATTTCCCAGTGAGTGAGTGAGTGAGTGAGTGAGAGATCACACAAATCCGCTAAACATGATTCATTTAATGAACGCGACAATCTTTCTATACAATGATGTCAAGAAATTACACCCCAACGGTGCCTATTATCATTAAGCTTAATGCATGGTGGACTCGTCAAAACAGATTCTAATAGGACATTTGAATTTTTCAAAAAGCGCTCTATTAGCGACATTCCAGCAAAGTGGATAACCGGAGTCTTCCAGTATGCTACAAGAACCCACTGAGCTCTCCCTGTCAAGGAAGACCTATGGTCTTAAAACTTAGATATATACACATAATTACACAATTAATTATATTAGTAAATAGTCTTGTGTAAATTAGTTTTCATGTTATTGTCATTTTTGTTTGTTTCAGACGACATGAACAACACAAGAATTTCAATTCTCGTCGTAGTTCTCTCCCTTTTATTAGCAGCTTTGACAGACGCCAGGGGACTTCCGGATGTTAAAAATAGGTATGTTTCGCGTACTCTAAGTTGTGAAAATGCAATATCGATTTCATACCTTTATGTTCTATTACTTTCAAAGTTTTAGTTCATATTTTCTATTTATTTATTGGTGTTCTAGTCATCAGAGGGAAACCAGATGCCCACACAGTTCAAACCCAACACATAAATGTATATCACAATGGAGGATTTATAACGTCACTGTTTCGAAGTCATTACATATTTTAGCCTCTTTGAACAGTTTTGTATTTGAGATCGTTAACTTCATATTTACAACAACTTACAAAGGATTCTATTTCATATTCTATGCCATTTATGGTGTCCCCCGCCGTGATATTGCTGGAATATTGCTAAAAGCGGCGTAAAACCATATTCACTCACTCACTCATATTATTTGTTACAATCAATGTTATAAATCCTATATAATTATGTTATTGGCATGAAATTGATGACTCGTGGGGAGTCAGGACTTAAATAGATCCCAGTAACACTTTGTCGGAAGAGGCGACCCATGGGATTGGCCGTTAAGGTTCGGTTATTTGGTTGGTGGTGTTTCATCGCTAATTAATCACTGGATTGTCTGGTTCAGACCCGATTTATTATATACCCGTGGACTGTACCTCAGTGCGACGTAAAACAGCAAACAAAAAATCAAATTGACGGTAATGTTACCATGCATATATACCATCTTCTACAAACACATATATACCATCTTCTACAAACACATATATACCATCTTCTACAAACACATATATACCATCTTCTACAAACACATATATACCATCTTTTACAAACACATATATACCATCTTCTACAAACACATATATACCACCTTCTACAAACACATATATACCACCTTCTACAAAGACATATATACCATCTTCTACAAACACATATATACCATCTTCTACAAACACATCTATACCATCTTCTACAAACACATATATACCACCTTCTACAAACACATATATACCACCTTCTACAAACACATATATACCATCTTCTACAAACATATATATACCACCTTCTACAAACACATATATACCACCTTCTACAAACATATATATACCATCTTCTACAAACACATATATACCATCTTCTACAAACACATATATACCATCTTCTACAAACACATATATACCACCTTCTACAAACATATATATACCACCTTCTACAAACACATATATACCACCTTCTACAAACACATATATACCATCTTCTACAAACACATATATACCATCTTCTACAAACACATATATACCACCTTCTACAAACACATCTATACCATCTTCTACAAACACATATATACCATCTTCTACAAACACATATATACCACCTTCTACAAACACATATATACCACCTTCTACAAACACATATATACCATCTTCTACAAACACATATATACCACCTTCTACAAACACATATATACCATCTTCTACAAACACATATATACCATCTTCTACAAACACATATATACCATCTTCTACAAACACATATATACCATCTTCTACAAACACATATATACCACCTTCTACAAACACATATACATATATACCATCTTCTCTTCTATATAACCACTTATATACCCATCTTCATCTTCTACAAACACATATATATACCATCTTCTACAAACACATATATACCATCTTCTACAAACACATATATACCATCTTCTACAAACACATATATACCATCTTCTACAAACAAAACGTTTCTTATCCATGATATGTGTTGTTGTTCCAGTTGAGCTTCCACGTGACCATGATAGTTTCCACGCAACAGCTGAAGCTGTCACCCAATCATAAATCGCGTAGAAAATGTTAACAACGATATGTTGCGTTTCGGCGCTATTTGCTTTCAGGGTAAAACGCCAGTCAGCCGACGTACAGGCGGCGGAATACTTGGCATGGATTGCACTTGGCGGAAAGATTCCTTATAACGGCTGTGCTCAGGTTGCGTGTGGGGTGGTCGATATAGTCAATAGGTTTGTTAGCATTTGGTGATAAAGGGGACACAAAGTAGTCCTACCAATGGTGAAATCACAGATCAAATTGACCCTTCGTAATTAAAAAACTATACATGGAGTGTTTCGGGCAAAAAATAAAGGTTAAAAACGGGATACTTCAAGTGATGTGTTTGATCAATACTTGCTGTAATCTTTTTCTCGACGATGCACGTGAAACATTTCTGTAAATAGTGTTTGGAAAAGTTTGCATTTTTATCTTGGTAGTACAGATTTTAAATCTGGATTGTCATTGGCTGGACTACTTGTCATATTGCACGAGACAATGTTATAGTTCGCATGCTGGTTGTATATCACTATACACGTATGCCCATATACTGCATGCACTCCTGCATGATTCAATATCAATATTCCAACGCAACACACAACGTTAAACTCAATCAAACAGAAAATCTCCAAACTCCTATCTCTCACTCACACACACATGCACGCTGTACACACTCTTTTTGTGTGATGTAAATAACGCGACAAATATATCGTTCGGATGTTCTGAGTGCTTCATCTTGTAGTTATTGTGTTTTAAGACAATTCAAAGAGTCTATATTTCCTTAGTATTTTAGGACTCTGGAGTCACAAATCTAGCTTCGGCTGTCAAGTTAATTGTGAACACAGAAAGTCGGTATTACAGTGGATTTAGCGGTCACAGGGTGTCTGTGTACTGACGTGTTCATGGATTTTGATAATGGCGGATGAATCTGCTGAGATTACCAAGGAAACTATATGACGTTAAATTATTCTTTTTTTCACTTTCAGACAACTTCTTGAGAGGCGTTTCGAACTTATAGTAATGAGTAAGGATAGGATGCATGGATGAACAACTCCTTTATTATAATCAGGAGATGGATGGGTCTAGGTCGAATTATGCCCGGAGTGGCCCTTCCCTGAGTGGCCCCTCAACACTTCAGTGTCCCTGCACTGGCCTCTCTTAATCCAATCAGCTTAATTACCAACAATGTTGGACTAATTACGGAGGCGTGATGTTTTGAAAGAACTCTGAGTACCATGATGATAAAGAAACACAACAAACCAAAGAGTGTTTTACGATACATTTACATTATTCATGTCCATGGCTTTACATATGCTTCAGAGCCATGGCTGATATGACAATTGAAACGTAGCTCCTAAGTGTAATGAAGCTGTTTATTGATATGCTTTATATTCTTTGTTCGTCAATCCTTCCATTGCCGTTTACAACAACACTGCATCATTCCAAATCCATGCAGTATAGTGTATTCATGCATTTCCTTTCAGAGGTTTTTGAAACAGGGGAGGCGATACCGCTTGAGAAAGGCTGGTTTGTTTGGACTAGCGACGCGGCAAAACGCTTAGTTTTCTTGAGTTGTTTACCCACCCAGGAACATCGTTCAAAGCTCTTGCTTTGTGATTAATTCTTGATTCTTCCAGTTACCATGGTAATAGATGTGTCTCTCACTTTGTTTAGAATCAGGCGGTCATCATCCGATCAGAGAATAGCAGAGTTACAGGCCCTGATGGCCTTGGTACAAAGTGGCGGCATGGTTGCCCATGGACAGTATGATCCGCTCAGTATGTAGGTATCCCTGTCGGTCGGTCACGTGTGGGGCCATTGTTTGGTCACGTGACGACATCACGTGGTGATGTCACGTGTTCAACGTCCACAGTACAGCGTCACCATGGCAATGTTTTGCCCTGTGTGTATGTGTGTTCAACCCTTTATGTCGGATCTAACTCTTGTCCAACGATTTGTGTTTCCAAGGGATTCTTCTTTGGGAGCGCAATGTGGTGTCTGAATTAGGAACAACGATGTGTGTGTATATATATATCCTACCATACCTTAATATTTGACCTGTGATTTACTCATGTGTTTTGTGTGATTGTTTTATACAATCATTAGAGAAACTCGGTCTTGTACCCCAGGTAATGAAATCATGGATACAACGAAAAGTTGTAAGAAAATCAATGTTGTTTCATTCTGAGGGGATATACCGTGTTCAACATGTATATTTATGTACCGTCCCATATCTGTTTGTGACTTTGCAAGAACATGAACTGGGAATACTCCGTTTTGTATTATCTTTAAAACAATGTGGCGTTATATCGGAACCAGTTGCTCTCTTCCTTGTCAAAACTGGAGTGTCACCCTGCAGTAGCGTCTGTTTGTGTGATTGTATTTACTGTATGATTGACCTCAAGTGAATGCTTGATGACTTAGTTTATTGTAGGATTGACTTTATTGTATGACTGACGTAATAGAGTTTTATATTTTAGTGTAAGAGTGGTTTTATTGTGTGATTGAATGACTGCTTTACTGCATTGGTTTTCAGTATGATATACTTTACTGTATAGGTGCCTTGTTTTTTTCAAGTATGATTGACTTTACTGCAATGATGATTTTTTCCAGTATGTTGGCTTTACTGCATTGGTGATTGTTCCAGTATGACTGACATTATCGCATGATTGACTTTACTACAAGTTTGACTTTACTGTATACGTGCCTTTACTACATTAGTGATTTTTCTAGTATGATAGACTTTATTGCATTGGTGATATTTTCAGTATGATTGACTTACTGTATGATTGACTTTACTACACGTTGACTTAACTGCAAGTTTGACTATGATTGCTTTTACAGTTAAAGTAACATACAGTGTGTGGCGTGACACTGGGCGGCACGACCCTCAGTCGAACATTGTCGGTTCGCTCTGTAACATGGGTTATTTGTTACTCGTCACAATGCAATACGATGTCTGTTGTTAACATACTCACATGACTGTCACACGTGCATGCGGATGTAGCTGAGAGCACTCGTATCATGAATCACCAAGATGTATGTCTCCGCCCCACTGTGTGTCCTTCAATGTGTCTGCATGTTCCCTATGTACAACAATCGTGTGTTTATAATGCTCCCTTGTACTAACAATGACAACTAACGTTACGTCCATACGAGCTGTCATGTCTAATATTGACGACATACCACGACTCAGGGATAACGTCTTCAACATTTATAATGTATAAAAATCTTGCCATCGCCGGCGGTAGGGTAGCCTAGTGGGTTCGATTCCCCACATGGGTACATGTACATGAAGCCCATTTCTAGTGTCCCCCTGCCGTGATATTGCTCGAATATTGCTATAAGCGGCGTAAAACCCAACTCACTCACTCAGTCAGTCACTCATTCACTCTTGCCATCGCGTCTTCATTGACATTATCTCAGAGTACATTGATAAACACCCTGATCAAATTTGTGAAATCTGTCACACTATAAGAAAATCATAGGCTGTGTACTGCTTACAAACTACATGTTACAGTAGTTATTGTTATGTTACTCGGCCTAGTAAATATGTTTATTGATTTGTTTGTGCGACAGTATATGTTTCTTCAACACTTTGTGACGTAACATGTTTGTTTAGTATATTATCATATTGTTTTTGTGTGTGTCCGTCAATTTGTTCAGTGTTATGACTAATTCTTCACGTGTTCGTAACGCCATAACAATCTAAATCCTGATGCATAACTAGGCTGTCTTACACTTTAATCTTAATGCAGTTCAACAACTATTGAAGACATTTGTTGCTAAAGTCGAATCAGTATTTTCTTTTATAAACTTGTTATTTGAATGCATGTATTCCAAAACACTTAAAAACTACATTTTGCGACAGTGGAAAGAGGAAGCGATCCGGTTTCCGGCCGGAAATTCAGTCTGAGGATGACGAAAGGAGATGGGCACTAGTTAACGCCATTGTACAGAAGGAAGCCAATGACATTTCAAGAGAAAATGAACAGTAAACTTTACATCAGGTAAATGACGTATAGATCATATGCATGAAAGCATCTCATGAACCTTGGTCGTTCCTTTCTCTGTAAACTATTTATTCCATTTGTTATAAAAAGATTGTGTTTGTTCCTAGTCCTGACAAAATATGCAGAGTCAGTGCTCCAATGGTTCAAGGGAATTTGTGAAAAACGAGCGGCAACTTGATTTGTGTATTTGTTTGTTCGTCCAGCTATGCACATGGAAAAAAGTATCACAACACCAAATATGTTTCACAGTATCACTCACTTACCGTTAACCACAGCAAAGGAACTCCAAACCTTGCTATAAAGATAAGGATAAATTGACCCTCCATCAATACGTAAATGGCAATTCTAAACGCAAAAAGAAACGTAAAGCTCTTGTTGAATCTGAGAAGCAAGCATGTACAACATTTACTCAATAACGGTCCTGTGATGCTAACAAGTGGGGTCATTTTAAAGATTTTGTCATGCAATCTTAAAAAAATCACATACTTATCAAATAACCGCTTACAATGTCATTATCTGGTGTAACATCCTCATCTTTGACAGTATATACTGTAGAATGTGATGTTGACTTATTGGGTTGCATTCCTGATAAGGATGGCCAGTGAGGTTACACCAGATAATGACATTGTAAGCGGTTTGATACATATGTGATTTCTTGAAGAGTGTATGACAAAATCTTCAAGCCACTGCAGTCGTCATCCTGCGATGCAGCATGTGCTGCAATTCAAAATTGTATTGTTGATATCCAAATATGGATGGCCAGACATTTCCTGAAGCTGAATCAAGACAAAACAGAAATACTCATTCTCTGCTCAAGTTCAACACGACAAAGGTTGTCTTCAATAACACTTGAAATTGATGAATGTATCATTGAACCCACTGATCATGCGCAATCTTTGAACTATTATCCTTGAACAGCACGTCAATAACATGTGCAAAAATGCCTAGTATTTCATCCGCAACATAGGCTTTATCAGGAAGTACATCAACCAGCAAACTGCTGCAACATTGATGCAAGCATATGTAGTATCTCTGTTGGACTATTGCAATGCTCTGCTACAGGGGATTCCAGAATATCTTCTGAGCAGGTTACAGAGAGTCCAGAACTCAGCTGCCCGATCTGTGACACGCACAAAGAAAACAGAGCACATAACACCTGCTCTGATGACATGTCACTGGTTACCCATCCGACAACGTATCCAGTACAAATTATCGGTACTGATGTTCAAAGCCTTGCACAACACGGCACCAGTTACCACTCAGACCTTGTGCAGGAACATAAACCAACACGTCATCTGTGGTCATCACAACAACACTTGTGCCAGATAGAGGTCAGCCGGACCAAGACATTTGGTGAAAGGTTTTTCAGGTTGTCGGCCCAGCTTTGCAGACACATTCAGTACTTTCAAATCCAGATTAAAAACTCATTTGTTCAGCATTGCATACGGAGTTCAGCAGCGCTCTTGAGCAGTCTTCTTAAGACTGGATATTAGCGCTATATAAATGTATATAAATGTAATGTAATACATCAAGATTTTTTACCGGAGGATCTCTCTGACGTACACTGCAACCCATAATGTCTCAAACATCCTCTATGGGATCGAGATCTGGACTCCTGGCGGGCCGAGATAGAGTTGCTACTGCCCCTTGACGCAACAAATCCCTACCCGTGAAGGTCCGGGTTAGAATTGATCTTCAGTAACCCATACTTGTCATAAGAGCTCAGGCGACTAACGGGATCGGGTGGTCAGGTCAGGCTCGCTGGCTTGGTTGACACATGTTATTTGTTCCCAAAAGCGCAGATCGATGTTCATGCTGTTGATAACTGGATTGTCTGGTCCAGACTCGGTTATTTACAGACCGCCGCCATATAGCTGGAATATTGCTAAGTGAGGCGTAAAACTAAACTCACTCACTCACTAGCAATAAATCCCCAACAGCACGTGTTCAGAGGATGGTCATTGAAATGTGGTACAACAACCCTGCCTAGGATGTCAGTGATGTACCGTTGTCCATTCGGATTTTGTCTGATCGTCACATGGTCAGTTTACAGTCATTTCTGTGGCACCCCCACACCAATCAGTACTTGTTCCAAGATACCCCGTTGTGAAGTGCAGTGTGTCTACGGAGCCAAACAAGAACTCGGCCATCAGTCGTGAGCAGAAGAAACCGAATTTCGGCCGAACACAGTGGACCGTTCCACATGACCTTAAATTCCAGTGACTTCGAGCTGGACAACAAGCAAGTTGTGCTGCTCTGTGGAAAACAACGGATGGCTCTATACCCGGATAATTGTAGGCAATACTGAACCGTTCAGTTACGAACTCGGATATCAGTCGTGAGCAGAAGAAACAACCGACTTTTGGTCGAACAGTGGACCCTTCCACATGACTTTAAATTCCAGTGACTTCGAGCTTACCACCAAGCTAGTTGTGCTGCTCTGCGCTCTGTGGAAAACAACGGAGAATTGTAGGCAATACTGTACCGTTCTGATGGACGAACGTCGATGTGGAAGCCACTCTTTTAACACTCAACTTGACCCATACAGATGAGATGTTGTGATTCTGAGAAGGCCTGTATCCTCCCTAGTGTAACTCGTGGTTGACATGGATGTTGAAGGTCCTTAACGTCATTAGTTTGCTGATGTGTATGGCCCAACGGCCGATAGTCAATGGATGACCAACATATCTTGCAATAGACCTCAATGACAGGCCAGCATTAAGGATACCAATAACCTGTCATCTTTGAGTAATTGTCCGTTGAAGAGGCCCCATATATCAACAACGAAATCAATTAATTAACTGTAGGAACAGTTTACTAAAATTTGATGTTTGCTTAATGACGGATACACATATTGCCCGTGATGGTCGTCTTTCATCTCAGCTAACATCTAAAATCAAACTAATCATAGAAACAAACATAATTATGATATGAATGTAAATGGCTATATGGCTATACTTCCCATGTGTATGTATGATGGCGGTTGGAAATAATCCAGTCTGGGCCAGACAATCTAGTGACAAACCAGTGGTCGACATCATGAGCACCGGTGTACACACCTGGGACACGAATACCTGTATCAATCAAGTCAGTCAGCCTGACCATCCGATCCCGTTAACCGCTTCTTAAGACAAACATTGGTTGTATTAGCCCAATTCTAGCCCGTATCATCTAACAATTAAGAGTAGAGAACTGACTGAATTAATCTGTGTTTACTTATCATTACAAAAAACATGATCGAATCTAGGTATACAAATTCTTTCCATGGGCCAACCTCATTATAAATATATTGCCTCTCTAAGGATTCAAAGTTAGAATATATTAGAACGTTCAGTCTCAGGTCGCTGACTCTTTTTCCAAACAGCAAGAGAATATGTGTGTGCGTGTATGTGAATTATAAATGTTAAAGGATTATACCAGGCGATTAGTGATATTTCCCATAGCAGATGCATATACCATACTCGCCGTCGAATTCCCGTGTATTCTTCACAAAGGTAAGCCCCTAATTTCCAATGTGTGATTTGTGAACACAGATGTTCAATCAGCGTATCATCTTATTACGTTATAGCATTCACATTGAATCACTATGTGCTTTTCGCATTTCAGCATACCTACAAAAGCCGACAAATCCTTCCAATTCAGCAACAGGGGCGAGAGTTTAGCGAGAAAAGGCGTGATTTGTGTTTGAGTTCCAGTACCACGTGACATGCATGACCCAATCACAGTGACCTCGAGAGGAGTTGATCCACTCTATATTTCTACGGGCGTTATTTACATATTTTATTGAGCATCCAACCAAAACCATCCTCTTTCAATAAAAGAATTGTGTAAAAAGGGTCATTAGTCCTCCGTGTTCTCAATTACTTTCAAGTTGTTTTTGTTCGTCACTGAAGGGGGCGACGGAGTAGCCTAGTGGTTAAAGCGTTCGCTCGTCACGCCGAAGACCCGGGTTCTATTCCCCACATGGGTACAAGCCCAATTCTGGTGTCCCCTGCGTTATATTGCTGGGATATAGTTAAAAGCGGCATAAAACCCAACTCACTCACTCGCCACTGAAGATTCACCATCTCCATCCATTACCTTGTAGATTGAAACGGGTTGTCAATACACAATGTCATTTAGAAAGCGGTCAAATGCAAAATATGTTATATTTGGGATAATACTTTCTCAGTAAAGTACAGATTCTTGTACGGAGTTCGAACCCCCCAGTCAGAGCCAGGCACCTAATCACCGAGTAGCTGAGTGGGTGAGATGGCTGACTTCGTGTGCTGATGATTAGTGGGCTGGCTGACAGTTTGAGTTCAAATCCAGGATGGGGCTCAGCCTAACAAAAGTACAAGAATCTATACTTTACTGAAAAAGTGTAATCCCAAATATAACATATACTGCACAAAATATGTAAGGGATATTGGTATTTTTATGATTGATATTTTATCAGTGTGTCAGTGTATGAATAGATCAGTATTCATAATTTCAAAATTTACATATATCCCTAACTATTTTTTGTCCAGAATATGTTACATATAGGTTGGTTTAAAGAAACTTTATGATTCTGTACTCAGCTGTGACACGTTTACACACAACGTCAACATGGATGTAGGCATGCTCGCTTGTTATCATACTAAATCCATACGGGTTCGAATCCTTCATTGGCGCGCCAAGCATTGACATCGTTGTATTACTACTATAGCGCTCATTTACGTACTCGCTAAAAATGGGTGAGATTTTCAGTTTTGGGTTGACATGATTATCAGAGTGCATGTTTTGTGTCAACTTCTTTTATTTTGTCAAGACGTTTGAACCTACAGTGCTCTATGTGATTGGGTAGCCTAGTGGTTAAAGCGTTTGCTCGTCACGCCGAAGACCCGCGATCGATTCCCCAAATGGATACAATGAAGCTCATTTCTTGTGTCCCCCGCCCTGATATTGCTGGAATATTGCTAAAATCGGCATAAAACTACACACACTTACTACGCAGGACTCATCAAATGATGGAGCAAAAAATTGCTTGAAGCGTCGCGACAAGAAATAGAATAAAAAGTGGCATGTATGCGTGTTCTTTCAATTACGTTTATAAAGCGTAAATCTGATTTGACAGAGGGACACTGCATGCCTTAAGACACAGCCATAGAAATCAGTAGTCTATATTCTATTATTTGATAACCTCTATAATGCACACACCTGACTCAAAATAAATTGTATCCCTACTTCCGTTTCGTACCCATATCAAAATATTACCCAAACGCATTACGCCCCACACAGCACCACCCCAACACGTGAAACCCCCAGACAAATACAGTTCTATCCGTTGAGTAATTTTTAGAATACAAATTTAGTCAATATAAACTGATATACATGCATCATGTAAAATGACAGTGAATGGGTACTCACATTTAAAATGGTTCGTTCAGTGACAAGTCACATTAAAACCATCAATCAATCAGTTTATTGCATGAAGGACGTAGGCCCATATACAAAATACATATGCACAACATATATATATGTACAACATATACACCATACGACACACAAGGTACACAATCTCTTCTCAATACAAGCGCATGATAGATAAATAGAGCTACCTTATATTGTAATAGGGATGTTTTACAGGAAAGTATTGAATACAGTTTTGTAGCATTAATATTTGATTGCAGCCATTGTGGAAAATACATTTGCCTTAAATCATTATATACAGGACAAAGAAATAAAAACAATGTATTTCATTCTCTACAGTATTAGAAATGACCACCATTCAAGACACGAAAATCTTCAGATCACGAAAGAAGTCATTCGTCTGATGACGTCACGTCTGATAAATCGTCTTTCATTTTGGAGCACCTGGATCCAGTTCTTGTCGGTTGGCTGAACTACGCGGTCGATGTCGAACACGACAACCCTTGACATTCCATAGGTGTTATATGGGGTGCATGTCTGGAAAGCCTGCACTTCACTGCAACGCGCTGCGAGGAACTTGTGTACAATTCTGGCAGTATGGAGTCTGGCGTTGTCATGCTGGGATAGTGGCGATGTGGGAGCTTACTGATTAAAGCATTCACCCGTCACGCCCAAAAAAACCCGGGTTCGTGACATTGCTGGAATATTGCGAAAAGCTGAAACTTAATTCGCTCACTCACAGATGCTGATACAGAACACCAAGTAGGAGCTTATAGAGACATGGTATGACAATAGCAGGAGGAGTGTAACCCATGTCATGTGAGTTATCAAATTTCCTTAACGTTGCCATGTCATATTTCCGTTAACGATGTCCAGTGTTGACATCGCCTGTCCACACATTTCCGTCCCCTACACTTTAACACACCTCCATCATACGACAGGACCTCCTGAACGAAACATCCAGCCGTTTGTACTCTCCTCCCATCAGCTCTGAACAGAAAAAACCGGCTTTCATCAGTGAAGACGGCCTTCTGCCAGACACGTCGCTGCCAACGACATACAGTTCGGGCCCATCTTTATCTCTGACAACAACGTTGTGCTGTCAGTAACTTTCCTGTTAGGTCTGGAATTCCTACATCCATGAGCCCTGACCTCCCTGGCCATTGTCAGTCTGCTAATGTTATGCACGAAGGCATTCTCCAAACTCAATTCCGGAGATGCAAAGTATGCAATTACCGATCTTCATTGGGCGTAGGTACCCTGGGTCTACCTGTTATTGTCTGTCTGTTGTCTGTCCGTTCTGTCTGCAACGTTGCATCAGGTTAGCTACAGCAACAATAGACTCCCATCTGTATCATACCCAAGCCCGTTTGAGTTGTTCGCACGTTGTCAGGCAAGCCAGAAACCTATGACTGTGGGTTCGGATCCCGGTTCGACACAACAAAGTGTCTGGGTCTGCCAGTGCTATACGCGTGCTCATGGTACAAAGTGGTGCACGTCTTTCACCTGCATATTCCCACCTGGAATGCTAGGATACAACTAGAATATTGTCTAGAACGGAGACACACCCGACTCACTCACTCACTCACTCAAAGACATTTTAGTGGGATAAGGAGGGTATATTCTTTTAATATGAGATATTTGTTGATGTCGGACTGACTGAATGTCATGTGGTGTATGCTGATGTCGGACTGACTGGATGTCATGTGGTGTATGCTGATGTCGGACTGACTGGATGTCATGTGGTGTATGCTGATGTCAGACTGACTGAATGTCATGAGATATTTGTTCATGTCGGACTGACTGAATGTCATGAGATATTTGTTCATGTCGGACTGACTGAATGTCATGAGATATTTCTTGATGTCGGACTGACTGAATGTCATGTGGTTTATGCTGATGTCGGACTGACTGAATGTCATGAGATATTTGTTGATGACGGACTGACTGAATGTCATGAGATGTTTGCTGATGTCGGACTGACTGAATGTTATGAGATATTTGTTCATGTCGGACTGACTGAATGTCATGAGATGTTTGCTGATGTCGGACTGACTGAATGTCATGAGATATTTGTTCATGTCGGACTGACTGAATGTCATGTGGTGTTTGCTGATGTCGGACTGACTGAATGTCATGAGATGTTTGCTGATGTCGGACTGACTGAATGTCATGGGATATTTGTTCATGTCGGACTGACTGAATGTCATGTTGTGTATGCTGATGTCGGACTGACTGCATACCACGGGATATGTGTTCGGGTCTCACCTACAAAATCAAGACATGATGTCAATAAGGCTCGACACAGACATTTCCAAGTGTCAAGAAAATAACACGTGGCAGACGTCAATATCCGCGCACACAGACACTGCAAGTCTGACGTCATTACTATGATAACGGTTAGATAGGTTTTTATAATTTATTGCTCAGTTTCCATTCATATTTTAAACCATTTATTACGTTTAGACACACCTTAACCTTAAAAGCAGATAAAGATAAAGATAAAAAAGACTTTTTTTACTTGATTTCTCAGAGTTTACAACAATCAAGAGGTTAACTAAAACTGCGTCACATTGAGCTTACTCCAACATTAGTTTTTACGCCGCTTTTAGCAATATTCCAGCAATATCACGGGGCACACCATACATGGGCTACACATACATATTGTGCCTACGTAGGGATTCGAACCCGTGTCTTCGGCTTTACGAGCGAACGCTAGCACCATTAGGCTACCCCACCACCCCTACTCCAACATTAAGTTGAATTGTCGATGCACCGTTACGTTCAGAGATATGCAATAGTGGAGTTAGTTTGTCTAGGAAATGTATGGTTTCAAGAGAAACATATACTTGACGGGTACCAACGATGGGGAAGGATGCGTCCACAGTTTAGTAAACACCAGGTATCATCGCTAGTTGAGTGATTAATAAACACCATAAACTGTTTATTAAGTCAGAATAGCACATTTGATTCTGCTTTTAGCTATGATTTAGCAAAGCGTCGACATTTTATCCTGGTTAACACAAACTGCCTGTGAGGCGCTCGAACCTTAACAGTCATATGACCATCTTATCCCACCGGGTACCCATTCACTGCTGGGTGAACAGAATTTTGCCTATGATGAGACCACATCTGTCACATGTGCTTCGTTTAGAAACTTTAGTTTTAGAAAATCTCAGAAGTCAAGCTGCCAAACACTGTCACTTAACCAAGGACTCTCCATGATTTCAACTGATTTGTGACCTGGGCTCTATGCATAAGACCGATATGGAAAAAGTGATGTTGCCTTTATTTATGATAATATTCATGTGGCCACATGTACCAGCTTATCAAAGTATACTCACGACAAACGTCCTTGACTCACGAACACAGGTATGGAGCTTTCAAACCAAGGTCGAATTCTTATATTCGCTTCAATTTGATTCAATAAAAAAAGAAGAAGACGA